GAGAGAGAGAGAGGGAGGTGGGGCGAGGGAGATATATTTTTATTTTATTTTTTTAATTATTTTTTATTTAAGAGGTGGGGCATCCCCATTAGACAGGATGTGGTAGTCTTGTAGAGAGGGTCTTTTAATGAAGGAAGAAAAGGTGTTTCTTCTCTTGGCTTGATTTACCGCCATACTTTCCTCCTTTCATTGTTGATTTGTGTGTATTCCAAGATCGAGGGAGAAGGCCAGATATAATTTCCTGGGCTCTTTTTGCATCATTTGGTATCAAAGAGGATCCGAAGATGGTTACCAACTACAATGGCTGGTTGTGGAGGTCGCCACTGTGGGAATGCCGATCCGGGACAAGTATACAAGAAAATGGACAACTTGACCAAGATGGTTGAAAAGTTGTTGTATAAACAAAGATTGTAGCAGTATATATCGAGCAAGATGAGATCTATGGTGTTTGATCTATATTGGGTGAGTTTTTGTGGAGATCGACATAGATTAGAGAGTGAGTCTGAGTGGGAACATCCTCATATTATGTTGATGCACTATGCGTTTGATGCATGACGACATTGACGTGAGCATGAATATAGAAAAAAGATGGGTAACCTATTTTCCAAAGCCGATATTATTGTCATAGGGGAGTAGACTGAGATGAGTGTAGAGAAGAGCATTGAAGGAATTTTACTTCATATAGATCCATCCCCAGATTGCGAGCTTCCTAGGCTAGGAGACCAACACCTCCAACCTAGGGAGTTGCTATTTCTACAACAAAATTTCAACATGAGCATCACACAAGTACAAAGACAAAGGTATTTGATTTCTTGACCAAAGAAAACCGTAGATTTGGCACCAGGAAGGTGGATGGATTGAAACGTATGAAAGGCCCTAAATGTAATGGAAAGAAGGTAGATGTAATTGTAGATCAACATGCTAGAAAAGGAGATAGTTGGCAATATGTCTGAAATTTTTATCAATGAAAGGATGGAGGATTCTAAATCTAATGATGAACAAATGCATCATTGTGTCATATAGAAGGAGATTTTAACTCTGAACTTTACTTCTATTAAAGACAATGTTGAATTTGCATGTTATTCGTTGATAGTGAACATGGAAGAGCAACCTACAATTATAGTCAAAGGGGATTTGGGATTGGATGAGAATATCAAAGCAAAGTGTTGATGGACAGACATAAACTATCTTTGTTGTCGTTGAGTGAGGAGATTCCACTTGAGTCTTCTAAACAAGAAGGTGTGGTTCTACTCCCAATCTGACAACCTTTACTAAGGTGCCATGGGAGACGCATACCAAGGAATTGATGATAATTTCCTTTGGGCTCTCAGTTAGAGGGTTTACTGAAGGGGAAACTCACCAAGTAGTGCATATTATGTTCACTAGTGCATGGGCCAATGATAGGTTGGTACTCTGCTTTGATGAAGCAACTAACTCTATTCCCTCTCTTCTAACTCCAAAACCTAAACCAAATAAGCCCAATACCTACCCCTCAATTATGCAAAATTATGCAAGATCTGAGTATTCACAAGTAGGTCAAATAGTTCGTTCTTGCGCTGTAAGAGAAGGCTCATTTTCCTATGTGCTTGATGCTAATGACATTGCACATACATACCAATGTAACATTTTCAGTATGCACAGAATGTCATGTTAGGATGCCTATGAGATGCACAGTATTTGGGCACCCTCTAATCGCCGAATGTCATAACAAAAGCAAGAAGAGTATAGAAGCAATTAAGCAGACACCGACTCTGAAATGTGGGTTTAGTGGTGGCAGTTGTACCAAAGCTGATACCTTCTATCTACAGATTCAATGCTCAACCATGCTGGCTATAGAGCTGAAGGATATTGTAAGGTTGTTTCTATTGGAGTTCTAAATGAAGCTCTTCGCATTCTCGAGCATGTTTGTGGGGAGCCTACATGCGATGTTATTGTGGGTGACCATATTGTAGTCATTGTAATGAAATGTGGTGATGCTTTGATTCGTCTTGAGCATAATTATTATTGGGAAAGCTCCTCTATTAAAGTGTTAATAGCAGACGGAACATTGAGTGATTGGTTTCAATTGGATCTTCTGCATTTAAAACATGGAGACTTTTCTGGTTTTGGTGTTTTTTTCTCTAACTTCAGCTTCACCGACGTTGACAAGCAATTTGAGACTTCAGTTGGGTCTAACTATATAGGTGTTGCAATTATAGAACTTCAGTACGACAATATCGAAGGAATATGTGACTTCAGTTGAGTCTAACTATATAGGTGTTGCAATTATAGAACTTCAATACGACAATATCGAAGGAATATGTGTCCCCTCTTATTAATGTGAAAGGGCAGGAAGCAATTGGGTTGACGCACATGTCAGCCAGGTAGAAAATGGTGATGGTTATTGGAGGTACAATGTGTACACTAAGATTGCTTATTTTCATGTGGCACCATCAAGTGGTGGCATATCTTCTTCAGAACCTGATGCAAGAATTATGGCATCTCAAGAGACCTTCAGTCATAAAACATGGGTAAGTATAAGGATGAAGAAATTCTCGTTCATGAACAAGTCCTTGTTGTCCATCTTCAACCACATCACATAATCATAGTATTTGATCAATTTGTTTTAGTACCAAGGCTTGTAAAGGTTGGTTTTATTGTTGCAACAATGTTGACAAGCCAAGGGGATGCACCTCATATGTGCAGCTAGAAGACCATCCTCAATGATCATATGCAGCAAATTCATATATTTTGTCTATGAAAATGGAGATGATAAGTCTTCTACTATTGTTGTGCTCATTACTTTGTTGTTGGTGGGTTTGTTAGGCCAAAGCCTTACTAGGAGTGTGATCATGTGGAGTCCGGTTCAATGGTATGCTAATGTTGAGCTTATGGTAGAGGTAATCAAAGTTTCAAGGGAGATGAAAGAAAATAGGATTGAGTTTAATGATTTTCTTTTTTTGAAGTTCCAATCAGAACATACTACCGCATTAAAGGGCCCATCTGCACACAAGTGCTCAGCCTCATGCTCGGCTTCAACACGAGTTCGATGAGTCTTCTCCATGTTGTATGTATTATTGTGAAGCGAAGGAGAAACTGTTATGGGATTTGAGAGTGTTGGCCACAAAAGTTCGGGCATAAAGAAAGACGTTGTTTCAGCTATTGAGAAGAGTGCGGCGCTCAGGTTCTACCTTTCAGTAGTAGGTGATGTTTCTTCTTTGGTGGGAGGCGGTGCTTGTTCTTTAGCTTGGGCGGTTAATTTTGATACTTCGATTAGCAATGTGCTCCCCACCATATATGCCAAGTGGATAACTATCATAGACGCACCCAGGGTGTTTAGCTTCATGGTTCACAAAGAACAATGGCATGGAGATGTAGGCCTTTACCATCAACTAAGGGAGGATGGCGACACAATAGCAAAAATTCAAACGCGAGTTCTTTTCCAACCCCGGGAGTGTGATGCAAATCGCAAATGAGAAGTTGAAGAATTATATTGTTTAAATATTTAATTTATTTTTTTTAAATTGATTTTTTGGGGGCATGGATGTAGATTTATCGACTTGTTGTTGACTAATTTAGGACTTGAAGCATGAAGGGGTTAAAAGGGAAATTTAATAATTTGGGTAGGATAAAAAGTTTCTATAGTTTTTTGGATTCATGTAGATCATTCTATGATTAGTTAGGATTTTCTAAAGAAGTTATAGAAAGAGAGGGGGATGTCACATGAGCAAAAGGTGGAGATCACTTGAATTGTAGAGAGAGAGAGAGAGAGAGAGAGAGAGATGGGAAGGTGTTTCTTCTCTTGGTTTGATTTACAGCCATACCTTCCTCCTTTAATTGTTGATTTGTGTGTATTCCAAGATCGAAACAAGGCTGGATACAATTTCTCGGGCCCCTTTCGCATCAAAACTTATGGAGGAGCAATGGTTTTTGTTATGTGAAGATTGAAGTTATAAAGTTGCATGGTAACGTGGTGAGTTAAAAAAATATCCCAACTTAATAGAAATGCCAATTACATGCTTGTGCTAATATTTTATTAGCAACAAGACTTAAATAAGCTAAGTGTAAACAAACTCTAAAATAAATTGGAATCAACTTTTCAATTATATTTAAGGATTTGCGAAAATTATCACAAGAAGGGAAGTGTGGCTGTATGCACCATTTTTGGATGTGTGTAGAAACCATTCACAAAGAGTTTATTACATAGAAGAGACATAATGATAATTGTGAGGAAACGAATTTAGACGAGCAATAATTATTAACAACAAATATAGAACTTGGTCCGCACGATAATCATAATCTTTCTGCATATTATTACATGTAAAAACTTTATAGAATCATGGTGATAGAACCTGAGTAAATGGGGTTGTGTTAAAGTTGGAAGGCTATGAAAACTTCAAAATATCTCATGGCAGACATACATACATAAACGTATAGCGATGCAGTAACATGTAAGAACAAGTAAAACTTGAAAAATGGTTTGTAAGGTTCACATCTCTGTTGGTTTGGTCCCTACCTTGGTGAAGGGTAGAACAGTGAGTCATCCTCAAACTCAATTGGATCACTTGAATTCATGGGCTGTGACCTTGATTGTCTTCTTGAATTTGTCTTGCTTGATCGGGCAAACTCTAGATTCAGGGATCCCTTCAATTCGTTCACAACCTCACTCATTGTAGGTCTCTTTATACCAATTTTTTGGGTGCATGCCATGGCTATCTCTGCAACTTTCCATACTGAATTCATATCATATCCCCCCTGCATCCTTCGGTCAACAACACTTTGGATGTCCCCCTTCTCTAGATTGGGAGTTATCCATTGTACAATATGGATTCTTTCCTGAGTTTGCCCATCTATGATTATTGATGGTTGCCCTGATAAAATCTCTAGAAGAACTATCCCAAAGCTATAAACATCACTCTTCTCATTTAGCTTGTTGGTAATGTAGTACCTATCAGATGAGTGGATAGTTTCAATCACAAAAGAAAAGAAAATAAATGGCAGGGAAAGTTATGAAGGTAGTTGTCTTCAGTGGGTTGGTAAGAGAATGGGCTTGCGAAAAACATTACACAATTAGAGAGAATGGAGAAACTCAACTTCACAAGGGACAAAATACAAAGAGAGGAATAAAAAAAAAAGGGCTGTTGTAAATTAATGGATCTGCAACGTTTAGAAATTTGAAGTTTATAAGTGTTCAGTGACATACTCTGGGTCTACATATCCTGGTGTTCCAACAACTGCAGTTGATATGTGAGTATCTACCTCGTTTGGCCAAGCCTTTGATAGCCCAAAGTCTGCCAATTTGGCTTCCATTCTTTCATTTAAGAGGATGTTGGATGTCTTCACATCTCTATGAATTATTGGCGGTTTGCATCCGCAATGCAGATACTCCAATCCTATGATAGAAATCCAGTGATAAATTCATGGAACTAAAATAGATTGTTAAAAAAACTTGCATCACCTTTCTATGCATACCTTGTGCAGCACCCAGAGCTATTTTAAGACGTTGCTCCCAGTTCATGATTCTGGAGCTATTCCCATCTGTAAAGAACAGAAAAACATTTTATATTGCCGGAAATTTTATTTCCCCTCAATATTGTTCACCCATTTTTTTACTGAAACATTATTTTCAAACATCCATTAATTGGCTTTGCTTGGAATTCATCGTTGGTTTTTCGTCTTAATTGATATTGAAACTTTATGATAGTTCAGGAACCATACCTGACAGAGTTGCTTGCAGATTTCCGTTGCTCATGTATTCATAGATGAGAATCATGTTGTTGCCATCCTCACAAAATCCTAAGAAGGTGTTTAGGTATTTATGGTGAACTCTCACCGACAATTCAATCTGCGAAACAATTTAAGGTTTCTCAATTTTCAGATTTCACAAACATCTAAACATTTGAAGACAATCATCTCTTCCATACTAACCTCTGCCATGAACTGCTTGAGTCCTTGGCGTGAACTGTCAGACCGCATTTTTACAGCGACTTGACGACCATCTTTGAGGCATCCATGAAAAACAGTCCCATATCCTCCTCTACCGATGGCATTCTGGAAGTTATTTGTTATACTTACGATCTCCGAGTATGTGAACGCTTGGGAACCACTCATTGTAGATGAAGATCGTAGCTTTCCCTTGCCCACTGTTGCTGCTTCTGATAAGATGAGTACTAAGGAAGATGTAGTTTTGAGAACGGTCTACATATTGAGAAAGGGCTATATAGATAAGTTCTCACAGTTTCGTGAGATACTTCATTTTAAAACTCCTTGTCAAGCTGAAATTCTATTTGATATTTTGAAAAGATTATGATATGCATTTGACCCAAAGTCTGTCTCAAATTGCAGTCAGTTATTTTCAAAAGCTTCATTTTGCTAAAAGAATATGCTTTGTTTTATGAAAAGACCAAAGTATTTGTCATTTCGGAAATAAGGTATACCCTTTTGATGTTTCTATATTACAAAGAACCTGATGCCACTACTTTCATTCCTCATGAATGAACCATTCAGAAAGACTAATTTAATACTCTTATTCTTATAGGTAAGTACGCTTGTGTCAAGGATCCAAACCTATATGTAAGAGCCTCTAAAAGACTCAAACATTGAGACATTAGCTCATTTGCTGGAGCTATTTACATTGTATATGGCAAGATGAGCAAAGTTAGCCTAAACCTCTCTCTTGCAAACCTAGTTTCTCAACATTATAATGCCACATAGCTAATTGATTTAGAGAAAGCATACAATAGGGTACCTAGTGACTTAATTTGGTGGGTGCTGAACAAGAAAGGAGCCTCCAGAGGCTATATTGACATGGTGAGAGGTATGTACGATGGAGCACTAACTTGTGTGAGGACAAGTGGAGAGAGAAGTAAGTTTTCAGTACTAATAGGCCTACATCAGGGATCAGCAATGAACTCATATCTCTTTGTCTTGGTTAGATAAGTTACTAGACGTATATAAAATGAGGTACTGTGGTGTATGTTGCTCACGAATGACATTGTTTTGATTGATGAGACTAGAGGTGACATCAACGCACAGTTTGAACTTCGGAGGGATGCTCTAGAATCTAAAGATTTTAAAGTTAGCCAATCTAAGAATGCAAGGAGTGCAAGTTGAGTAATAATAGGGGTAAAAATGACGAAGTAGTTAAGATTAATGGTCAAGAAATACCTAAAAGAGATTTTCCTTATATGAGGTCAATAATCTAGGAGAATGGAGAAATCGAGGAAGATGTCGCGCATAGCATTAGAGTTGGGTGGGTGTAGTGGAGATGTGCATCCGAAGTTTTTATATGATCGACGCATGCCAATGAAACTGAAGTGGAGGTTTTGCTGGACAACTGTAAGACCAGCCATGCTTTATGGGACGAAATGTTGGGCTGTCAAGAACAACATACCCACAAGATGAGTGTAGTTGAGATGAAGATGTTGAGATTGATGAGAGGCGTGGCAAGAAAGGATAGAAATTCGGTATGAATACATTTGAGGGAATTTAGGTGTGGCTTCAATAGGCTATAAGATGAGGGAAAGTATGTTTAGGTGGGTTAGGCATGTGTAATGTAAGCCTAATACAGAACCTATTAGGACGTGCAATTTGGTTCAACTAGAAGGCTCTAAAAGGGCAATGGGAAAGCTTAAAAAGGCATGAATGGAAGTAGTGAGAAAAGATATGGTGACTTATGGTCTTATTGAGAGTATGACCCTTGATAGAGTAGAATGACAGTACAAGATTCGTGTAGCCGACTCCAAATAGTTAGGATAAGGCTCAGATGATGATACCACATAGCTAATTGATATGTAAAAAATGGTCTCTTATACTATTTTCAAACGCCTATTTTGCAAAAGCGCCCCATATTCCTAACTTGAACACTATGCCTCATTGGATTTCTAGGGCAAGTTGCTTAATGGTGGAATGCCTCTGCTTAACATGTGGGGTCTAGGTTTTAAGTTTGAACTTGATGTGTAGTTGGAGTCCCACAAGCTTGATATTTTCCTTTAATATGGGGAGCGAAGAAGATAGAAAGGAAAAATATAGTAAAGGTACCTCTGTTGTTGTGCAAATAGGTATTGTATTAATTTATTTCCCGAAAAGAACTAATAATGTTGAGAATTTGGCTTGAGCCGATCGGCTAAATATTCTTAACATCAATTTATTAGGTCCTAGCTACTTGATGTATTGACGTGCTCTATTTTCTTAGCGAAGCCTTTGACAAATCACACTCTAGCCACTAAACCAGGAGGCAACCCTGTATCTGCCGATTCTGCCCTCTGTTAATGAGTATTTCATTTATATTAATTAAAATTCCAAGCACTTAAAAAAGGAATCAGGAATTGCAAATGCACTTTGTTGTAAGTTCGATGGGTGTGATGTACCCTTTTTGTGGACGACCTAGAATTGAAGAAAAGTAATTTTGATTAATCAGCTTGAACTTCCATGGAGTTGATTACATAGGAAAACTAGTGTTAGCTTGGTTTTGAGGCTGCAATATTCGACCTGAAATTTTGCGATGAAAATAGAACCATGTGAGCTTATGCATTTGACACCAATGGACATTTGATAGTGTGGTTCCAACTGCAATTTGTCAATTTCTTTAACTGGCCTTTCTTGACATAATGAAGGCATTTTGTACATTTCAAAGCTATAAGTTGAGGTGCTCTTTTAGATGATTCGTCACACATTTCAGAGATACTGAATGGACTAACTGTATGCATCATGTACAAATCCTCTGGAAACTAGGGGATATGGGAAATGATTCCACTTTAGTAAAAGGACTGAATAAAACCCTGGCAGGTGGTCACTGGTGCATCCAAATTTTGGTTTCGAAATATGGAACTGTGTGGATTATGATGTGTACCATAGTACGAAACTTATGATGCTGACCATAGCATTGAAGTGTTGGTTGTGACTATAATCTGATTATGGTTTCATTATTATACCTGTTGGACTCTATATATTTTCCTTGTGCCTCTTTTACATGGCACCATGCAAGTCATCTTTTCCTTTTCCTCAATTTTAAGGTCAATTCTTTCCATGTAAAATTTAAAACTGGATGTTGTTTTATTTATATACCTCACATTAGGCTACAATGCATTATGAGGAAATACAACACAAATGTTGGTGCTTCCATTCTAGAAACATATCCTGTTCCCTGAACATGTAGTAGACCGGGCTTTTAGATAAATTTCAACCCTTGTCACTCGAGCAAAAAAGGTCATACAACAAGGTGCTGTTCTTTCTAAGGTAGGCACTTCCCACCATCCATAGAAAGTTCAGAAAATCTATTAAATCTCATGATAAAGTAGCAATTCCATTATTAAGTAGATCAAGTCTAAGTTGATGTAGTTAATGGTTTGCAAAGAAGTAGAAGAATCCAGAAGAATCGGTGTTAGTAAGGGTACAAATACTTGTCCTACTGCTGTAAGTCATCAAAAGAGAAGAAATAGTCATGAACATTATTCTCTTGTGTACCATCCCTCCACAAAGCTCTTTTTGCATTCTTGCATTTAGATCTCATAAAGAAAAGATTAATTGATTCTTTAAGGTTCAAAAATAAGGTTTTTAGCCGTTGTCCAACAAGCTATACTATTTTGCTGCTGCATGAGTATATGTTCATTTCATATCTTAGTTCACTCAAGGGGTTCAGTAGCAGAGACCAACAATGCAAGACTAGGAGTGTAAGGTTTTCTAAGATATGTATAAATCTTGTTTAGTTGGTTTGTGCATTTTGTTTGTTAATTCAGGTGTATTTCATTTTTTTGCTATTTATTCAAAGGTAATTATGTACTTTGTGTACCCCTGTCAGTTCTCTGTGTATGTGTAGTCTTTAAAACTTTTTGAGTCGGTTTTGCCAAGTCAACTCGATTCCGCAACTCAACAAGTCTTGTGCTTTATCATGAGACTCAATTGAATCTTCCATTATATATTGTTAAACAAAGAAAATCAGTCAAGTTGACTCACCATGAGTCGAATTATCTTGCGACTAGGTCAAGTCCTGAGCTGAGTCTTATTTTCGACCTTTTTGTGTGTGTGCACGTGGAAGATTAATCCTTTAGTTTAATTAATGAAACTTTTGCAAACCATCTCTGAATCTAACAAGATTGATTGGCCAAAAGCTTGAGGAAATATTTGACTAGCTTCAGGTAAGATTGGTTTTTTGTCAAAAATCTTCCAGCTTTTTAGTCATTTGGGATGGTGTTTGGTATGCCTCTGTGAAGGCAATGGGTTCTTGTTTAACATACAAATGGAAGTTGTGGACTATCCCTACATAAAATCAATTGCATTCCTTGATTGACCAGCTAACACTTTGATAAATGTGAATTGACAATCCAAATTAAGGGAACTATGTTTCTACTGGAAAATTTGCTCCGCAAATTCATTTATGGTGTGTTTGAAATATAATAGGTATGTAGGTAAGAATTTCAGTTATCTCAGAAAAACTATAAACAAAGAAAAAGTGAGAATGGTTTGAATTCATCAAACAGTACAGAGTTTGATAAGGAAACATAATGCGACACCATAAACAATATCCAAGATAAAAGCCATTCGTTAGAACAAACTCAATCACAAGTGATTTTTTCATTTCTTGGAAAACATATGCTCTTTTGATAATTTTCAAAAGGTTGGCATGCATTGGCTGCTTTTGAGAAACTTAGGAGATTTTGGGCATAAGAGAGAAAAAGCATCTGCAGTGACTCTCTAGGAATAAAGGAGGTCACATTAAGAGAATAGGTAAGAAAGGGCAGTCCTAGTACTAGTAGTCTGTCAATGCCTTCTTTGCAAATCCATAAGTTCAAATTAGATGGTCAGAACTAAGTGGGTCAATAAATATGAGCTTACCTCGAAGTTTCCTTCTCTTCAATAGCAGCACCATAACCAATAAAGAAACTATGACCAATACTCCTCCAAGAGATGATGCTATTATTACAACCAAAGAAACCTTTTGATGTCGTTTGTGTACCCTCAATTTGCTATCTCCACTCTGATCACATGAATTGGATAAACATAGCCTTGGATTGCCTTCTATACTACATATATAAAGTTTGCAAATCAATCAGTTGGCTAATACCATAAACATATTGATGAGGGAAAGGAAAAATTTGTTGGATTCATAGCTAACCTCAAAAAAAGGGACCCGCTGTTATTCTTATATAGTAAAGTCCTTGGAACTGGCCCACTTAAGTTGTTGTCCCTTAAATCGCTGCAAATAGAACTTGATGGGCTTAAAAAACTCTTATTTGTTGTTACATTTGATAATCTAGCTAGAGATATGGTATTCGTACTTACAGTGATACCAGGTTAGGTAGATTAGCTAAAAATTCAGGTATTGCACCGTTAAGGCGATTGTTTGCTAAATTCCTGAACAAGCAGAAACCATGAATGAATAAAAAATCTAAATATCTAGTTAAAGATATTTAATTTCTTTGTAGTTTGTACTTATTCTAGTGTAGTTATGTTGTAAATTTACTTAAGTGTCTGAAATGAAAGAACTGAAAGAATAATTGATTCTCCTTAATAAAATACGAAGGGTAAATCGCCCTACATTCGAGTCTAGAAAAGACAAGAATATCCCTCCAGGTAGAATGCAACTAAGACTGGTCACCAACCAAATAATTAAAAATATGTTTACAGTGCTTTTAACAAACTTCAAACTTGAGCAGCTAAAGAAGCAATGGCAGACGCACTCGCTAAAGAAGCGGCTCGACAACAGAACTAAATGGAAGAAGTGTGTAAATGGGCAAAATTATAAGCCCCTACCATGCAATCCTTTTTTGTCCGCCTTTGTAATTGGGCATTCCCATAAGCCCTACTCACTTCTCTCTCCTACTAATCCTTCTTCTTATTTTCGTTGAGCAGGTTTCTTTGTGGTCCTCCACTCAGGGACCACATTTTTACCAAGGTCCATACTCTGTGGACCTCACAGTATTGATGTAACTCACTTGTTATTTAAGGTTAGTTAACTTCCCTAAAAAAAAACACAAACTTCAAACTTGAGCGTCCACACATATGATCAACAATTTGTTCACTAAGTACTCATAGTTTTATGTGGTTGGACCACGTGCCCCTCACGTGTGTGGCCCACTAGGTTTTATGTGGAGCCCACATGGGCTACACGCCCCTCTTTGTGGGACGCCCAAATATTTCCTATTTAGATGGGATTTATTTGTGGTATAATATTTTATAAAAAGATTTTGTTAGTTGAAAATATTTTGAAATAATTTTGTTGAAAGATTTAAGCGGATCTAGATTTTGATCATTATTTTATTTTCTAATTATCCATATGTGAGTATAGGAAATCTAGAATATTCTAATTACTCTAGATTCTATAGAATGTTTCTAGAAGATAAAGATTACGATGAGACAAAACCTAGATTATTTAGAAGTGGATATAGGTCAATCTCAAGAGATAAGGTTTTTAAAGATTCACTCGCGATCATGATGGCTGATCTTGGAGATGAATTGCCTAGAGTAAATCTTCTTTTTCACCTCACATATCTCCTAAAAATCCTAGATAATGTTGAACTCCTAGTCTCACTTGAACTCCCTAAGCCCTAGAGGATAAATAAGGGGGATCTCCCCTGTCATTCAATGCATCAAATCTCTCCCCTCTCTCTTTCCTCTCCACGTCATTCTCTGTCTCTCATGCTCTCTCTCTCTCTCTCTCTCTTAAAAGGGGCGCACCATGCTCCCTAATTGCCTAGGGAGGTACACCGGCATAAGAAGTGAGAACAAGAGGGGGCACACTTGCCCTTAGTTTTAGTTTTAGGTGAGGTGCTAATCATGGCATATGTCGCAAGGTTAAAAATGGGGTTTTTTTGTGAAACCCTAATTATAACCTTGACTCACTTGCCATATAAGTTTAAGAAAGGGAGTCCTTGAAGTGCTTCTCAGTTCATATTGGTGGATTCAGTAGGTTTCAGAATCAAAGTGCCTCGTTGATCAGGTGATTGGATGTGGGATGTGCTATGCCTTAAGGGGGGTAACCCTTGGCAAATGTCAGTTAGTCTTCCCATATTTATTTAATATTTTTTTACCGTTGTTCTTGTTTTATTTATTTCATAGAATTGTTAAGTTTGTATTCAGTTTAAATAAATTTCATTTTGGCAGTACGTTATTAAGATCCTAGATCATAGAAAGATCTATTCTATACTATTTGTGTCACCTGTAAGCGGAATTTCCATCAATTAATAAAAAAATGATTTTTTTTATTTGAATTTAGAGCCTGAAATTCTACATTGCCAATTCTTCTGATGGGATGGATGAGTTGGATTTAATCATCTTTCATCTTACAGATTTTCTAAAATCCTATTGGTCATGATGAGTCATAATTGGATAGGCATTACCTAAAAGGGGATGAGGCCTCTATAAGGAGGGGGACCCCCTTCATTCTATACACAATTTCCAAGCCTCTCTCTTTCTTTCTTGATTTCTCTCCGTCACACCCCACTCTCTCTCTTCTCATCTCTCTCTCTCTCTCTCGCTAGGCGGCACACCACCCGTCAAAAAAATGGGGTGGCACGCCGAACGCTAGTTAGGGTTTTGAAAAGAGAGGGTCACGCCCAATTCTAAAAAAGGGAGGTGCCATAACCTTAATTGTTCTAAAAGTTATTCCAATAAACCTTAATTGTCTTTTATGCTTTCCAAAACCCTTGTTTGAGTGATATTGCCTAAAGAAACTTCCGAATTCAGAAAATTCAGCAAGACCAGTGCGATTAGAGTACGTCATCAGTCAGAAAACCGGGAGTGAGGTGTATTGAGTCCTATGGGATTGACCCTAGGCACATTTGAGTAAGTCTTCCCAATCATTAGCTTTTGTTTTTCAGTCATATTTGCATATTATCTTCAATTTTCATGAATATTATTGGTACTTAATTTGTTAGTGAAAGCTTCGTATTCATTTCTAGCTTGTGTCTATTCAATTTGTCAGTAGGAGCAAAGGTCCTAAGTTGTATTTAGCGTTTTAATTTTCGTTTATAGCAATGTATTATTACACTTGTAAGTGAAATTCAGATTTATTTTCATTGCCACATAGCCACTTCTTTCATTGGTATTAGAGATTTCATATTTAGCATAGTTTGGAAGTTTTTCTTTTATTTTTAAGTCAAGAAATATAGCAGGCAAAAATTTTATGGCTAAGCTTATTATGTCTAAAATATTTGACAGGAAGAACTATGTTAGTTGTTAGAGAAAAATTGGCTATGTCCTCTTCGAGGAGGGATTTAGCCAAATGCTTACTAAGAGCCCCCCACCTATACCAAGAGAGAATGTTTATGAAAGACAATCTATACTGGAATCTTATGCTCATTGGAGGCCAAAAACACCCTCGCAATGGATCTCACCTCATGGCCATGAATAATTTGCATGCCCTCGAGCTCTTGCAGGCTGTAAAAGAAGTTCCTGAGAAACTCGAGGCTGATTATTTAACTCCTTCCCGCACAAGAAAGACACTTGCTATGAAGCAGTATCGGGATCTAAAAATGAATGGAGGAAAATTAGCCAAACACATCCAGTAGCTTAGATTCTAGTACGTGAACTTGAGGTTGCACATATAAAGCCAGATGAAAATATGCAAGTGTGCCACTTGCTGAATTCTATGCCAAGCTCATGTGAAGCCTTTATTTCAGCCCTCACTGCACAATAGGGTTGGCCCTAGCCCTAACTTGCTCCCCTGAGAGCTGGCCTAGGTCTAGCCATGGCCCTATCATGGCCGGGCCGGCCTAAACAAGTAAAATTAAATAAAATTAAAGGAGAAAAGATTAAAAAATAAGGGCCAAGACCGGCCGAACCTTGCCTTGGGGCCACTTGGCCCATTGCCACTCCTACTGCCACTCGGCCCATTGCCACACCTACTGCACAAGAAAGCACACTGAAGCTGGACGATAAAATCACCAAGCTCAAAGCTAAAGAACAAAGGCGGATGACTCGTGATACTCTTGCTGTGAATGAATCCGTGAACTTTTGGTAAATCTAAAACCCAACTCTAGTTCGTTCAAGAAAAAGAAGGGCAAGGGCAAGAATAAGAATAAGAATAATGAGAATCAAAAGGGGGACAACGTGCCTAAGAAAAAGAGGGACTTAAAGAATAGCCAGTGCTATAATGCAAAAAATTTGGGCACATAGCGAAATACTGCAAAGCAACAAATATGAAAATCCCAAGGGCGATAGGGAGCATGCTTGTGTAGTCCATGAGACTTTGCTAGTGACCCTAAGGAAGAAGGGTCATGGTGTTTCGACTCAAGTCCACTTCAGAAACTTTCAAGCCTGTTGCTCATGGGGATGAGCATATCTTTATGGGTGGGAATTAGAAAACTGAGATTTGGGTATTGGAGATTATGTCTTTAAATTGAAAACTTGAAAGAGCATGGTCCTAAAGCAAACACTTTATACTCCTGGTATGAGGAAAGGTTTGGTTTCGGTCGTGAGATTGGGTACAGTTGGATACTCAATCATTTTTACTGGCAATAAGGCGGAGTTGAAATTTGGGGATGAAATGGTTATGAATGGTCTTCTTGTAGACGGTTTCTTTTCAATTGCAATAAAGAATTCCATTTCTTATGTCTTGTGTTATAATGATGATGATGCATATTATGGGATATGAGATTGGGGCACATAAATCATAAGAGAATGGAGATATTAAAGAAATAGGGATTATTAAAAAATCTAAATGGAGACTTAACCAGAGTTTGTGAATCTTGTGCTAAAGGAAAGATGTAAAGAAATCATTTTGAAAGCTTAGAGAGCTACTAGAATTTTGAAGTTGTCCATGGTAAAAAGATGTACTTTATTACTTTCATTGATGACCAATCCCGTTTAGGCCATGTGTTCATGTTATGGGAAAAGTCAGAAGCCCTAGACTGTCTCAAAGAATACAAAGCTAGGGTAAAGACCCAAACAAGCTAGAAAATTAAAGTGCTTAGATACGATAAGGGTGGATAGTGTTCCTTGTAATTATTTAAATTTTGAGCGTAGTATTATATACCAATAAACTATGATGTACTCTACTTAGGAAAATGGGGTAGTCGAGAGATAGAATAGGACCTTGGTGGAAATGGTGAGGAGCATGATGGGACATGCTACTCTGTCCCTAGATTTATCAGGAGAAATAGTTTTGACCGCGGTGTGTGGATGCTCTACCCATGTCATAATACCCCATCAAAATAGGACAAAATTAGAACTCAAAATTGTTAAGTCTATCTTCATAGGATACTAGTTTTACCTATCACATTGTAAGGGATAATAGTTTTACAATCTTGACACAGGGGCTGTCCTAGAAAGTAAGGATGCCCATTTCCTTGAAGAGTTCCTTGAGAGTTATGACACTTGTAAACAAGTTGACTTTTATGTGATAGTAAATGACA